TATTTATTCACCCAAACTTAGTTGGTGTATCAATGTTATACCCAACAGGTTTCTTCCTCCAACTTTATGTTTCAGGGAGAACCATAGTATTGGCTCCTTTTCTAGGGGAAGGCTATTGTCTTGGTGCAGTAATGGTGCAGTGATTAGAATGCAGTATTGCAGCCTAACTCTGCATCTGTTGCCAGGAGTTTGATCCTGGCTGGCTCAAGGTTGACTCATCCTTCCATTCTTCTGAGTCAGTAAAATGAGGACCCAGATTGTTCAGGGCAATATGCTGACTCTGTTAACCACTTACAGAGTGCTGTATACTATGAAGTGGCATATAAGTCTAAGTGCTATTCCTATTTATAACTTGCTACTGTCATTTTTAGATTTTTTTAAAATTTCCCCAGTCTAATCTACAATTTTACTTTTTCCTAGAAGTCTCCAAATACCAACCAAAGCCCAAGATTGCTTAATGTTTGACTCTGCTGAGACAAAATAGCTGTTAAAGTCCTTTAACACCACTATTAAAATCACAATAATTACTTTCATTTCATGTGTAACATCATAGGCTTTTTTTACATATGCCTTTCTCTTAGCATTATGGCATCCCTGGGAAAAGCGAAATGAAATCAATACTGGAAAGAAAAGGAAAAAAGAAAAGGCACTAAAACTGGAGGTGGAGACATTACAAAAACTAGCTAAAGAGAAGAACAATACTATTGATCAATTCCTCCTGAGTGGAGATGAGAAGGTGAGTTATACTTACCAAATCACTATTTATATGTATTTATTCATACTTATTTAAATGTTAACATGCTTAATATCCTACATGTATTTGTTGTATAAAGATGTTAAGATACAATAAATAACTCATTTGACATTGTAGCTTTTCAAAAGTTAACTAATGCAGACTTTTCTATGCTGGTATCTTCCTGTTGTGTGTGGCACAGATGACAGCATGATGTTTTGCACATCATACCAAGGTGCCATTTATTATATATTTTTAAATTTGTACTTTGCCTTTAACCTTGCATGTAGTCTTTTATATAATGATCATTTGAAGTTACGATGGTTCCAAACAGGGGGAAGTGTGACCAGTCTTCAAAGTTGCAGCCATTGCAGCATTCCCAGTCATGATCATTATTTGGATGCTTAGCAACCAGTATGACAGTTGCAGCATCCTTCAGTCACGTGGTTGCCATTTGTTATCTTCCCTGCTGGTTTCCCACAAGCAAAGTCAATGGGGTTGTCGGCAGGAGGTTGCAAGTCCCCTAAGACTGCAAATTTTATCCCGAGGGGGACCCATGAGACATGACAATGTCATACTCCATAGCATTCGGCCACTTGCCTGTACACAATAGTATGTGCCTGTTATTCCTAGTACCCATCCATGGTTCCTGCCTGCTTGTACTCTATAGTCCCAACCTGCCTGCCTGCCTGCCTGCAGCTTGTGACTACTGGCCTGCTTGATTTCAAAGGCATAAGCAAGTGCTTCTGGATTCTTGCTTCTTCATACATGATGTCATGTGAGGTTCACATTTGATGGCAATAGGGACTACTGGGATTGCTATTGCTGAGCAATGGTCACATAGCACCATGCTTTATGACTGCAGTGGTTAGCGATGGAAATTCCAGTCCCAATTACCGCAAACAAGGCAGTTGCTCAACATGGGTTACCTGTGTACTTAGTGTTCAGATGCTTTAGTGTAACAGTCTTAACTGCTATATGTTGCACCAACTGCAACTTCTGGATACTTTTCTGAGTTCAATTTAGTTTGTTTTAAAATGAAACAATCTATTATCTCACTCATTGCTGTAGCTTTATAAATTTACTAAATATAAATAAAATAAATAAAATGTATTTTCATGTAAGTCCTGCTGATATATAAAGGAACCCTGTGAAGAAAGTATTGGGCAAAAGTGTTAGGCAATTGTGTAAAAATACAGTCAAATCAGGAATGCTTTTAGAAATAAAAGTGTTAATCATTTATTTTTATCAATTAACAAAATGGAAAGTAAATGAGTAAGAAATCACAAGTCAAATCAATATTTGGTGTGATTATATTTTGCCTTTAAAACAGCAGCAATTCTTACACTTGCACAAAGTCAGGGATTCTGTAGGATTCGAGAAGAGGTCTCCATAGCTGGCTGGAGAATTTTGGGAGTTGAGGTCCACAAGTCTTAAAGTTGCCAAGCTTAGAGTTAGGTGCATGATTAACCAATTATACCAAGCAGGTGCTAATTATCATCAATTTCATATGTAGGGTGAAACAGTCATTAATTGAAACAGAAACAGGGCAGGGCAGGGCAACAGTAGGGCAGTAGCTGTTGAATTCTACTGTATAGTGCAGTGTTGGTGCGGTGTCGGGGGTTTTCAATTCCATGTGTGATGTGTGTTTATTTTCATGGTCATGATGTGCACTGAAGGTGGTGTTTGTTCATTGTACGAGGTGCAATGACAATAAACTAAACTAATTTACAGCATTTTTGCACAGCTGCCTAATACTTTTGCACAGTACTGTATATTGTTTAGTGCTTAATTTATTTCATAAAGAAATCCAACATTTTTATTTTATTTTATTTATTTGTCAATTGCTTACAAGATAATAGGTATAAGTATAAACATGAGTAAGAATACAGGAAATAGGTACGAATAAATGGGGACAATAGGGCAGGGAAGATGGTGCACTTATGCACGCCCCTTACAGACCTCTTAGGAATGGGGTGAGGTCAATAGTGGATAGTTTGAGGTTAGAGGAGTGGGGGTTAGAGGATGTCCTATTACACTGTGAAAAATAATTGCTTCCTACTTCTTGCTTTCTCCTTCTAGTTAGTAAGTAGCAAGGTCAAAACCTTTGCAGAGGAGAACCATGTTATTTATTTTTGCCAGATGTAAAATATGTTTTAATTGTTTTTCAAATAACTGCCTTTCTCTTTTCACAGATTGCTGTGTGTTCCTACTATGCATATCATCTGTCAGTGTTCAGCTTGGAAACCATGTCCTATGTCCATACACTTGAGAGCAAAGAATCAATGCTTTTTTTATATAATGCTACCTTAACATATACTGGGCATTATCTAGTGCTTTCCAATTACAGTGAGGAGGAAAAAATCAGCTATGTAACACTATGGAATTTAATCACAGGAAAGGTATATTTTCTGCAATTCTTGGGCAACAATTTTTTTTTGTGGTATCATGGTTTCCAAATCAATACATAATCTAAGCTCTCTGCAAATAGTTTGCGAACTAGCATGATTTACCTTATCATTCCTTTTCACATTTCCATTAATTAGTTTAAAATGATTCCTAATTTCGGAATATTTGAATTGGGTTATTCTATCATAAAACTTTCCTTCTTTGATCCGAATACCCAGATCTACCACAATATCTTTTAAGTATAGAGTTGCAAAAATATGCAAAAACATCTTTTTTAAATGTTCAAGAACAGGAGCTAAATATTTCAAGTCTTTATTTTGCATTTTGAGGCACATGGAAGGTGTAAAATAGGTAGCATAGTCTTAATGTTGTAGATGACAGATATATTTTATTCCTTAAAAATCTCAAACCTCCTTCCCAAGAGGATCCTGGCCCTGCCCAGTTTTGAAGTGTGGCTCTTGACATTTGGGCATTTTACTTCAGACATTATTCCTTCATTCCTTGCCTTTCCACAATACAGCCAAGTTCTGGAAGAATAAGGATGAACAGGAAAACATTACCTGCAGTTATACACCTGCAAATCTATATATAGTTTGTATATAAGTTACCCATAACCAATTTACTCTATTTTTCTCTGTTATAAAAATATAGGTTAGAAAAAGATTAAAAAATGAGCCTAATGTCTGCTGTACAGCCATTACTGCAGATGGCAGTAGGATCGTTTTTGGAGTGATGGTGGATAACCTGTAAGTAAATACTAAATACAACATAAATACTAAATACTAATACAATAGTGGTGAGACTCATCTCCGCGGGCGGGGGGGGAATGAGTCTACCTATCAAGATGGGGTGTACCGGTTGCTTTCACGGTGTGGAGACAATAACTTGGTCCTTAACACCAATAAGACTAAGGAGCTTATAGTGGACTATAGAAGGAATAGATCAGACACCCAGCCCTTGCTTATCAATTGAGACCGAGTGGAGCAAGTGGCCAGTTTTAAGTTTCTGAGTGTTATCGTAAGAGGACCTGACCTGGGGCACTCACGTTGCAGCACTGGTCAAAAGGGCCCAGCAGAAATTATACTACCTGGGACTTCTCAGGAAACAACTACTGAACGAAAAACTGCTGCTGACCTTCTAGCACTACACCGTAGAGAGTATTGCACCTATGTATGGTTTGCCAACTGCACAGTGGCAGATAGGACAGGACTCCAGAGAATTAACATCATTGCCCAGAGGATCATTGGTTGCCATTTTCCCTCCTTGGAAGAGCTTTATAGCTCCCAAATGGTCACTAAATGAACTGTTGTAAGTCAAGGACTATCTGTACATATATACAGGTAGTCTTCAGCTTAGGGCAATTGAGCCCAAAATTTCTGTTGCCAAGTGAGACAGTTATTAAGTGAGTTTTGCTCTATTTTACAATCTTGTCTTGCAACAATTGTTAAGAGAATCATTGCAGTTGTTAAATTAGTAACAGAAATGTTAAATAAATCAGATTTTCCCATCAACTTTACTTGTCAGAAAGTCATAAAAGAGGATCACATGCTCTCAAGACATTGCAACTGCCATAAATATGACAAGCACCTGAATTTTGATTACTACACCATGGGAATGCTGCAATAATTTTAAGTGTGAAATTTCATAAGTCACTTTTTCCAGTGTCGCAATGTTGAACGGTCACTAAATGAATGGTTGTTAGTCAAGGACTACCTATCTAGTGAGATATTCTTGCATTTTAGATACATAGCATTTATTCATAATAGTCAAAAACAACTTGAGATAGCTTTGAGAGGTTATATGTTTCAAATGCAACTTCCCTCCCTACTAATGTAAAAGTAGTTGATGTATCAGAGACCTCTTTTTAAGCTTCCAGGAATGTAAAATGGTATTATTAAAATTAGCATACCACCAAAAATAATATAACAGACATTAAATATTTTTATGTAAATGTGCAAAATGGATCCAACTATATAATTAAGATGTACTGCTTTTACTAAAACCAGAAGTTATTTAAATAGTCCAGTGTAAATCAATTCAGAGAGTGATTGGAAGTTTTGCTAAAGTTAATTACAGCAATAGCACTTAGACTTATATACAGCTTCATAGTGCTTTACCGCATTCTAAGCGGTTTCCAGAGTCAGTATATGGCCCCCAACAATCTGAATCCTCTTTTTACTGACCTTGAAAGGATGGAAGGCTAGGTGAATATCTAATGAAATATGATGCTATATACAAAATAATTATTAAACAAGTTGTTTCTCAAATTACAATATGCTATTCTCAGATTTCCTGTTTACAAAATAGTAGGTAAGGTTGAAAGAAATGTTAAGTTTGTTAATTATATCTATATTATCAATTCTAAATAATGTCCAAATTGATACATTCTTTCTTGTGATTTATAGGATTAAAATTTGGGATCCATTTAAGCATAAACACAAATTAATGCAAGGTTATGAAGGTCTTGATCTGACTGTGAATAGCAAATTGCATATATTAGATGGAACAAAAGCAATTCTACTTGCAGGTTTGTTCGTAATTTCTTTTGTAGGTTAAAAAATGTGTTCCAAGACCCATGTTCTTTTGATTTTTAATATTATAACCTGTAATTTATAACTAATTCTATAACTAAAACACCAAACTTAATAATACACTATTGTTATTCTGATCCTAAACATCCACATAACTTACACAAGAAATTTCTGCTTGCCATATACGGTAGCATTTTATGAGTATTTAGAATGTACACCAGAGGTGGTATTCAGCAGGTTCTGACCAGTTCTGGAGAACCAGTAGTGGAAATTTTGAGTAGTTCAGAGAACCGGCAAATACCACCTCTGACTGGCCCCATCCCCATCTATTCTTTGCCTCCCAAGTCCCAGCTGATCGACTGGGTCTTCTTATGATGCCCTGCACATAAGCTGGAAAGCAGGTTAGTAGGGTAGGGAGGGAATGGGATTTTGTAATATCCTTCCCCCAAGAATGGGAATGGAACGGAGATGCCACACCCACCAAGCCATGCCATGTCCACCAAGCCACACCCACAGAACTAGTAGTAAAAAAATATGAATCCCACCCCTGATGCACACTATTATTTTCTGGTGTACCTATATCTGAAATATATAATGAATGCATTATGTATTACACAAACAGGAAAAACCAAACTGATGTTTTGGGAATGTGTGTCTTAAAACAGTGAAAATAATGCCTTATATCTCTAAAAGATTGGAAAGCATTTTATTCAATGCTGAAGACCCTGGCACCACAAATAGAGATTCATGCAGCTCATAGACTGCAAGTTTATGCCCCTATCCTCAATCATGTTTTTTTTTTTAAATTGTCTTAAGATTACCATCAATAGCACAGGCTTTATGGTTCAGCTAGCTGTTAAAATACAGCCCACTGTGGTTTATTAATAAATTCTAATCAATAAAATAACTATTTAGCACTATGTCTACAGTGGTTAAAAAAAGAAAAGATGATTCAGTATACATAATTCTTTAATTCAATTGATTTTTTCCTGAAAAAAAAAATTAAGCTGTGTAAGCCTAGGAAAGGTAACCGCAAATTGTGTGACATAAGCCTCCCTGTGTGTTCTGAATTATCCTCTTTCCCTTTGAATCCAGAGTGATACATCATCTTAATATTAAGATGCAATTCAGAAATTACGCAATCTAATATCCATTAATTTTGGCTATACAATGGCTGTACGATGCTATTTTTTTTTTTTTTTTGCAAAATTGAATCCAAGCCAAACAGATTCCACAAGAACTTTGCATAACATTATATTTGCATAACAAAGCACATGCTTCAGTAAAAATGTTAGCAAATGGAATATAAAAACAGATTTAAAAATATTTTTGATACCTATGTGCCTACATATAAATTATAGTTACAAATCTGAACTTACCTACTAAACAGGATACTTCTGAAGAATAAAAGTGGCAGATGTAATTATAGCAGTGCCAAAAAATAACAAAAAATGTCCTATTCCATTATTAATTTCAGAATTTTATATTCTCTTCTATTTATCACTAATAAATTATACCAAAGGTTTTTTTAACCTTATTGCTATGGATTAACCCCAATACAAGAGAGTTGTTCTTAAAATGAAGGAAGTTTCCAAACCAAACTAAATGTAGTAACATGCATTTCTCTCTCCCATTTTAGGTGAGGTCAGTTTCTGGGATTTGGAGAGTGGCACAGTTATATCCATCTTTACATTTGATAGCAAAATATCTTGCATGACTGTTGCTTGTGACAAAAAGACAGTTCTTTTAGGCTTGAGCAACAGCTCTACTCTTACCACTTTGAAAATGATGAGCATAAATACTGCTGAAAATTCAATAGGAAAAGATTTGTTTGGAGAAGACTCATCAAGCAGTGAAGAAGAACGTGAAAATATTTAAAAGAGAATTTGAACAAAATAAAATCAAGCATAAACAAATGAAACTTGACATAGTTTAAAAATCATTTTTGTTTTAAAGCAACTGCACATAACATTTAAAAGACAATAAGCAATTTGTGCATAACATAAAAAGACAATACTAATTCTCTTACCTGTAAATTAATTCTCCCTTCTCCCCAATAATTATCTGCAAGTCAGAGGAGAAAGATACAGCTGGTAATAATTGAAGAAAATGAAACGTTGCTGCAACCAGCTTTGCCTTTCTCTTAGCCCCATACAGTATTGTAAAAAAGTATGCAAGATGAGAACCTTTCAATCTTTACTCCCTGTGTAAAAAAAAAGTCAAGAAACTAAAGGAAAATCCCCATGACAGAAGCAGCTCTTCACTGAAAGGAATGTAAGGACCACTTGGACAAGTCATAAACATAAGAATTACTGAACTCATGTGGAGTGAACAAAGAATAAGTTTGCACAAAAGCTTTAATCACTCCATTATCATTCTGCAGAGAAGAGGGAGTGGGGAAATCTCCATACATTAAGGATATTCTACAATATTCTACAATATATACCTGGGGTTGTTTTTTTTGGGGTGGTGGTGTTGATGGGTTTCTCTGGGATTTGTTGGATAAATCTGTTTATTTTAATCTTCCAATTTTCGAGACAATTTTAGCCAAAGCATAGAAACGGGATGAGTAACAATTTAATTATGAAGTTATATTTAGAAAACTATATATATATTATTTTTTCAATTGGAAATCACCATGCTAAGAAAATCCTTAATATCTCACATTATATTGTTTAGTAAATGTATATAATATTCATATGAAATAATTCATGCAACTCTTAGAAATCAGATGCATCCAAAAGTATTGCTACTCCTCACTTTTCCCAAGAATCTCAATTTGCCATAAAGTAAGTTGAAACTGACAAAAGTAAATGCCATTCACCATGACAGTTCATACAACAGACACTTTGATATATAATTTAACAGATTCTTGTAATTACTAAAATAAGCAAGGGTGTCAATACTTTTGGCCAGCAGCAAGCAGAGAGACTAAACACTGGCTTTGTAGGGAAACATAGACCTATATTCTTTCTCTGCAAGAGGAAAAGATGTCAGTTATTATTTTTTCAACTATAAAAGAAGTTAATGATTATACTATTATTATTAGCCCATTTTGTGAGGCAACCTCCCTTTTTAGTCATGCTAAATATTGCTCATTTACTCTTTTTGGTTATATTGAAACATGTCCAGATATATTTTAGGTAGTATATACTGTGTGATGCAACAGAATATATGCTACTATGTAAATGGCAATTTCTGACTTATTCTTACCTTTAACTTTTGTAAGATACATGGTTAAATTTGGATTAGAAGAAAATAACACTTCACATCAGAACTCTTTTCATTCTGATGTATAAGACTGTTGCAGGCTGTCAATAAGATTTATGGAACCTGAAATGAGTGTGCATTTAACATAGTAACAATTGAGGGTATTAGGAAAAATTCAATACTCATACAAAATGCTAGTTTCACTAGTGCTTTAACAATGTATTATAATTATTGTTCAAGGTGTCACCAGACACATAGAATATAATACATGCATTCCACATTACCACGTCATATCCTACCTAGAATCTTACTTTTCAATCTCATTCCAAGCTAGACACATCCTACAGTATACTTAATTGTATTTTATATGCCAAAGAAAACTTATTTAAAAAAAATCCAGTTTAAACAAATTAGAAAGATACCTTCTGTATACAGAAGTTCTTTGGATTCCAGCCTATGAATGTATAATAGAAAAAACTGGGGGGAAATTCAGATACAATTTTACAACCAGTATTTTTTATTCATAAATCAGAGCATGCAAAATATTAGATCCAAGTAGCTGATACATTCTGATGACACATTTCTAATTTCCATGTGCTTATGCTTATAAATTTTGAACCAAGGAGATTGTCATATTATATCAAACAACATATTTTTAAAAAATCAAAACAGAACTTCATAGTAATAATACAGTTTCTCAAAATAGGAAGCATAATTTTACTAATGTAGTTGACTAATTGTAATTGATTAAGAATCAGTTTTTCTCAAAAGTAGACACATTCTGGTTCCTCTTATCAGAAGTTAATGCACATCGCTCTCTGGGTACAGAAGTATTGTGTCCACAAATAGATATGAATATGTAAGTAGTCTGTTTTATGATAATGTTGTAGTGCACATATTAGTCAATTAACATTCTTCAAAATTTTACACACCATCATAAAATTATTGTGTGATTTCTTTCCTTGGATCATCCAGAAAAGTAAGTAGCAACTACAGAAGCATATTACTAAGTTAGAATTTCATTTTATCTGTCCATTGCAGAACTATGTTTGGGTGGGGGAGGGGCAAATATTCAAAATAAAAGCATATTATAGCTATATTATGAATGTGCAATTAAGTGTCCCCCTAACAAGGTAAGACATGATATTTATAGAAGGCAATGCCATTTGACCATGACATACCTTGTGGTCAGTTTAGTAGATACAATTAATTCATGAGACACAATTTCAGATTTAACATGGATATAATGGCTATGTGAAATAATCCAATCCTTATGTAGTACAACAATTTCTAGTTAAACGGCTGAATATCTTTAGTCCATGTGATGCAGCTGTACTGCCATGCTTTCAAAATAATTTCTGAATATTTAAATTAATTTGAATTTTTTGTAGTATCCAAGCTTTTTTTTTTTCAAACCTCACTCAAAATGTAAGAAATGGCCAAATGTTATTTCACACCATAGGAACAAGAATTCAATAATGGATTTTTTTGCTGGTGTGCTTATGTTTTTGCTTTACAATAGATTTACTTACACGGAGTCTGTAATGTCTAATAAATAAAATGAAGTACTCTAATTTTCTATAAAAAATAAAATTAGTATCTGGGAAAAATCTATGGCATTAAATTAGGCAGTCAGATGACTACAGCTGTATATCATCAATTTCAAAACTGTTCCATTAAAGAAATATTTAGTTTGGGGATTCTTTAGTTATTTGTTTCAATGTAAAATATTTCATTAAGAGTTGCCTATAGGAGTACTCTTCTAGAAAATAACTTTTTTTTCCTATGAATGCTCTTTGCTAAGCCCTTAGATGCTGTAAATCAAATTAAGATAAAATATTAAGATCAGTCAAGTTTACTTCACAAACTGATCTTACAGTATTTATGTATTCTTTGTATATCTAAATTTTGCAACATGATTACATTTTTTAAACATCTAAGGAATTATGAACAAGATGGCACAAAAGGACTGAAGAAACTGAAGAGCATAGTGAGAACGAATACTCCAGTTTAGGACTGCAATTAATGCTGATTGCAACTCTTCCAGTATTTGTTTAATATACTTTCTTTAAACAGACTTATAAACTCACCACAAAATTAATATAAAATAAGTTAATGACATATACTAGATCACATGGAAGACACGAAGAAAAACTGGCTTTATATTTCAAAGGTTTAAAATTTAAAGTTTGGCAATAGATTCAAATATTATCTTTAGAATTCTGAAGACTAAAAGCATCATTGAACTAACATGTTCTCAGCAAAATATGCTATATTCAACTAAATTTACAGCCACAACAAATCAGTTTTAACATGATTATCTTTCCAGTATTTCCTCTTCATATATCACCATAATTCCACAATTAAAAAGAGTGAGGAATTTGGAATTCCTAAATTCCTTCTGTGCTACTCCCATGTGACCCTGTTTGAAAATTTTGGTTTAGTGCAGAATATTAAAAAGCAGAAAAAAGTATTGACATCTGTGAACAGTCCAATACTACTGTACATCTTAAAAATTATTGCATAGTTTTATGCATTATTCTAAAATACTAATCTGCTTATTAAATAGTTTTATAGAAACCACACAGCTGTCTGTACACTAGAGCATTTACTACCTTGATCTTCTATCCTTTTTGGATTTGTCTGTACATTTATCCATAGTCTTCTCATTGTCTCCTCTGCACTTTGGGCAATACCATTTTCCCTTTGGTTTATAAGTGAGTCCAACACATGAAAAATGAAACCACTCAATGGGACACAGATCATTGTCACAGCCTATCATTTCTCCATAAGATACTTGGTCACAAAGACAGTAAGTTGGCTCATTAGGGTCAACTGCAAATTCTACTGGTGAAGCTTCCCTTTCTTGTTTAGCTTTAGACCGTTTTTTCTTTTTAGCAGATTTGGATCTTTTTTCTTTAGGTGGCTGGTCATCATACTCATCAATTCCATTTGCTATATGGCATATATCACGGCTTTCACTAGTACGTTGCCGACGGGGTCTTCGTGAAGATCTTTCTGGTTGACATAGATCCTGTTTTGACTTTTCAATAGGTTTTTCAGTGTCTGACAGATCTTGAAAGCACTGAGAGTGGGATTCTATCTGCCGGGCTCTGTTCTCTACTAATTCAAGCATCTGAGTAACTATTTGGATTTTTTCATCTCCAAGTTCTTGACTGTTGATCAAAGCTCGCTGAAGATACTGCTGCAAACGCTTTTTCTGTGCAGGATCATCTTCAGCTTTGTATTTTTCATACACCTCATCAATTTCTTTCAAAGCTTCTGTTGAAAAGCATCACAAAAGTAAATCATAAATTCAAAGTTCCTAAATCATTGTTTTCTATTTTATCAATATTAAATATAAAATGTAAATTATAGTAATAAGCCAGGACTAGCTCCATAGACGTCTGACAAGATCAGCAAACTGCTATTCTACTTCTGTCCTGCTATGGAACAGTGAGGCACTTTAAATTGCTTTTGAGCCAATGAAACAGTATGGTCCTTTATTACTCGCTCAGTCTAACTTTGCTCTTGTTTCACTTGTTAGCTGAATATAACAAGGAGTCATATCACATTCTTTTGGGATACCCCTCATCAGATGCGAGACTATGCTTCCCAAGGCTTAATGTTTCTAGCTACTGCTTTGCGTTGCAGAAAACTACTCAAGGACATGCTGTACATTTGAGATCACAATTTTACAAATCAATAAGCCTTCAGGATTAAAAAAATCATAAAGATAATACATTTTTAACACATAGCACCAAAACCAAAATTAAAGAATATAAACCTTCCATGCTGGAATATCAATGGTTGCAGATCTTAAAAATGTTTCAGTTAAAATTGGTTCAGTCCATTAAATGTATTCATTAAAATATCCTATTTAGAATTTACTGGACACCTCAAAAAACATATTTGAAAGGATGCATATCAGATTTCCTCTGTTGGCAATATAAAAAAATTCAGTCATACAATTTAATATGTGAATTACTGGGATTTTTAAAATTTAAGATGTTAAAGTATGTCCTGAAATTTTGGAATTAGACTATTTTTTGTGAAATGATTATGGGCTTGGGCTATTCCTAAAATATTTTCATAAATTGTAGTTATTCTTGATATTAAAGTTTTGAGAGATATGTAACTTACTCATTTTTGAAAAGGTAATTTTACCAACTAATAAAAATGAATTAAGTTTTTTGTGGCAGAGATTTCATGACATTTTTTCATGTTAGTCAATCATATTTTTCCCAATACAGATTTAGAAATCTATTTGACATTTGATTAATAGATGAGGTATATCACCACTTTCTGTTCTTTGTAGTTTTCCATATTTTTTTCTGCAGTTTTGTATTTTGAAATTCTATTTCTTTCTTTTTAAAGAAATAAAAGAACAAATCCCATATACGTTTATTTAATGTATTTGATGTTCTAATCTAAATGCTAGCAAAGTAGAACCTAATCAAAATAACATTTCAACAATTTCTCTATTATCTTCAATATAAAGTTTTATTATGGAGTGAACTGCAGCATCTTTTAGAAGGAAAATAGGAACAAAAGCAGTTTATAACTGCAGTTTGGCAGCTATATGCCAAAATTGCCTTATTTAAAGTCACAAAGTAAACTACTATTTAATACATTAAGGAAAATGAAAAATGCTTTTTATCTGATTTATATCTTTTTCTCAGGATGTGAAGATGGTGTCTAATGCATGGCACCACGCCTCCAATTTCCCAAAACAGCAACCCTGTATGCTGAGCTCAGACTAGTCCCAATTCAAAACCATAGTAAAATTATATCCAACTACCTACAAAAAAGTTTATAGTGACAATCCTCAATATTCTTCTAGTGTAAATGCTGCTAAACTCAGTAAGACTCTTTAATAAATTGGTCTGTTGTGTGCTTCTCTCCCAAAGTAATTCTCACTTCAAGAGGCCAACACCTTCCTTTCCCTTGACTGACCTGCACTTCCGGTTATCAGTGCAAAAAGTTGCATAATCAAATGCATTTTAATGTGGAGGAGTCCCCTCCTTTCCTATATGTTTTCGTGGGAATTTATATGTATGGTATTTAGGTTTCTTCAGGTATTTTCCCATATCTTAATATTTGTGCACAAGTATTAAGATGTGGGAAAATGCCCGAAGAAACCTAAATACTATCTATCTATCTATATCTATACACACACATATATATACACACATACACACACGCACACATATATATATATATATATATATATACACACACACACACACACACACACACACATACACACTAGCTTCTGTCACTACTGATGTACTAACGAAAAGAATATATAATTCATAATAAAACACGTGTACCTGAGTCTACTGATACAATTGGGCATTATATTTCAATCCTCCCCTTTTAAACATTATTGAAGTAACATTACATTTCCTGCATTCTATGGTGGTCTAAAGGACTACATACACCTGTATTACTGTGAGGCAAGTAAAAAACTATCTAGCAGCAAGTGACTTGGGAAACTTGTGTTCTCGCAAGATCGGCACGCAAATGATTACCCCCCGCCCCCCCACCCAAAACCCCTCACCTTTACTCTCATACAGCTACTGAAACAGCATTACGATTATCCCCAACTTTAAAACATAACCGCCTACGGAGGGAAGATCTTACCGAGCGACACCTTTTCACGTATTTGTCACATCCGGAGCATCATCCCAAACAAGGCAACATGCCTCCTCGTCTCCGCCTCACTTGCGGGACCGTGACAGGGGCCCGCGTGAACGCGGCAAACCAAGGCGACTGTCAGCGCCAGAAGCCGGAGCGGCCCCGGCCGCCACCCACCCCGCGCTCCCTCGGGGCCTAAACGGAGCCTCCTCGGACCGGCTTCTTCCCATGCGCCGCTCCCTCCCCCATAGGGTGGGGTGAGGGCAAAAGAAGGGTGGCCATTTTCTCTGCCCCCAACCCAACGAGTCGGGAGGAGGAGAAGGAGATCGCCCCTCCTCTTCAGGAGGAAGAGCGCTCCGACTGGGCTGAGCGGCGAGCAGTCTCCATAATCAGTTGCCAGCGCCCGTCATCGGCGCAACCCCCGCTCCATCCCGCCCCCCCCCCGTCGCCCTCGCGCCCCTCTTGCTCACCACGGCAGCGCGTGTCCATCTCGCGCAGAAGCGAGGCCAACCTCTGCATGTCCAGCGGCAACGACTCGACGCACTCCAGGTAGTCTTGCACGTAGCGCGCCAACAGCCTCTCGGACGCCCCTCCGCACGGGAAGCTCGCGATGCCCCCGGCCCCGCCGGCGGCAGTGGCAGCAGAACCGGCAGCTGCCCCGGCCGTCGCCCCAGACCCCGCCCCCGCGGGCTGTTGCCCCGGCGACCCCAACATCGTTACCGGACGTGACACCCCCTTCCCTCTTCGTTCAGCCCGCTCGGATCGCTCCAGGGCAGGAAGGGAGGAAAGGGGGCAGTGAGGGAGACTCTCAGGTGGCTGCGTCTTTAATCGGCCGAAGGGGGAGGGGGGCTAAGAGAAATGCTCTCCTGCCTCACTTGGAACTCCCCGCCTCTTTTTCCTTCCTCGCACCCCCTTCGATCCGCAGAGTACGCATGCGCAAGGCCCTGTCCTTATAAGGTGCGGCCGGTTCACATTCTCCCGCCTTCCCCTTACGGCCGATACCATTGGTCCAGCATGGTGAGACGTCAGAAGACAAACAGGGCGGGAGGGAAAGGCGGGATTTCATTTAAAGAGACCGAGCCAGAATTAGACTTTGCCGGGTCTCAAGGGAACTGCTATCTCCCCGCCCTAGGCCGCTCCCACTCTTTCCTTCAGTTTTCTCAGCTGGAGGAGATGAGCAGGAATAAAGCCACAGGGACGAAGCAGATTGACGAGCACCGCTTTTAGTAGGGCATGAAAATAGGAGCAGGTTGGGAGAGAAACGTGGGTAACCAAATTCAAGGAAAGCAAAGGTAACCTCCAGGCAGGGTTTTCACGACATCCCAACCGCATTGAATCCCAGTGTCACACGGGATCTACGGCAACGTCTGAAATGAGCGCGTGAACAAACGAGCATGAAGTCGCCTCATCCACTCCAGAAAGAACCTCAACTCCTCCTTGAGGGCAAGAGTTAGGCTTCCTCTTCCCCCTGCCGTCCTACGCCCCTCACAGATCCCGGCTCTAGTTAGGTGGCGCCGTGTAATTACATCGAAAAAGGAGCAAAAAAAAAGGGGGGGGGGGTCAATTGGTGCTGCTCTTAAGAGTTCTGTGGATTCAAACTGGGTGTTTCTAATCATCTGCCCAGGAAGAGTAAGCAGTTTGCTCGCGAGTTACGTCCGTGCATTTTTACCTTTAGCGATGGTTTTCTCTGATTTGGCTGGGGAAAGTAGCCGAAAAACCAGGAATTCTCTGAGTATAGTAATTCTAGAGCAAATGTTCGGAAACCTGCACGAGACTCCCTGGGGCTCTGGAGGAAAGCGTGCCATAGACATAGGTCAACCTGCTCTTACAGATTTATTTTTTATACTCCGTCACTCGGAGAACCATCTCCCAAACGCGCGGACATAAAGTTACAAGATTTTAATGCAAATATTGATGTACACATGTAACAGCCTTGTCAAAAGCCCCCAAAACAAGGAGAAAAAACCCTTGCATTAACTAATCGCAGAAAAATACAACCGCAACGATGTTAGTCTTTCTACGCTTTCCGGGACCGATAAAAATTCGTGGGTTTACAAGATGCAGAAGTAGCAGTTCAAGGCTCCGTAGAGACGTCGGCCAAGCAAAAAAGAAGCGTCCTGAGAATGAGCCCCGTTTTGTTGGTGCGACCGCCTCCTTGGGAAAGGAGCACATGCGCACTACCTGCGTAACTATGGAGCTGACGAGAGCCCCTCCGCACTCACCCGCTCGGCCCTGGGGCTTCTTGGCGGAAGAAGCGTGAGCTTGCGAGAGGGTACAACGCGCGTAAAAGCACGCGGCACTCTCTGCCCGGGGTCCGGGGACTTTCCCCTAGGCGGCGAGGAAGCCCAGAGGAACAAGTCCTCCGCAAGTAGCCTAGAGAGCAGGTCTTCAGAACGCTCGTGTGATAGTGTTGCCGTTTTCAGCTTTATAAAACTGTTGACCGTTTTATCTTGTAGGTTATAGTGAGCAAAACGAAAGCAGAGAAAGTAGAATATATTTTCTACTTGTTCGGTTTCTCGAAATATAGGCTATTTCGGCATTTTGTTAGGGAACGAGGAAGGACGCAGGAGAACAATTCTTATCAGAAATCCTCAGATTCTCATCTTTCATTTGCCTGCATATATTATGCAAATATTCATGTCTCCACTCCCCATTGCTTGAGTCAAACAATGTCGTGCAGGAGGGTTTGGGATTGGTTGAAGAATGTGATTTCTGAGTAATTAACGAACTAGAAGGGTGGTTTAAAGGTTTGTGGCTAGAAAAGAGCAAATGCCTCACAGTCACAGACCTTTCAAAAAGTAAATGATGTTTAAACAATTTAAAATAAATTAAGATTGATAAAATAAAACAAGAATAAAAAATAGCAGGAAAAAACGAATAGGGTGCATTCTATTGTTGTTAGTTGTAAAGCGTCTGATCCATCATGACTCCATGGACAATATTCCTCCAGGTCTTCCTGTCCTCTACTTTCCCCCGGAATCCATTTAAGCTCATGACAACTGCTTCAGGGACTCCATCCAGCCACTTCATTCTCTGTTGTCCCATTCTTCTTTTTCCCTCAATCATTCCAGCATTAGGTCTTCTCCAGTGAGCCCTTCCTTCTCATTAGGTGGCCAAAGTATTTAAGTTTCATCTTCAGGATCTGGCTTTCTAAAGAGCAGTCAGGGTTGATCTCCTCTAGGACTGACCGTTTGATCACCTTGCAGTCCAAGGGACTTGCAGAAGTCGTCTCCAGCACCGTAGTTCAAAGGCCTCAATTCTTTGGCGCTCCACCTTCCTTATGGTCCAACTTTCACAGCCATACATTGAAACTGGGAAAACCATAGCCTTGGCTATACACACTTGTTGGCAGGGTGATGTCTCTGCTTTTTAGTATGCTGTCTAGATTTGCCATAGCTCCCCAGGAGCAAGCTTCCTTTAATTTCTTGGTTGTAGTCCCCATCTGCTGTGATCTTAGAGCCCATGAAAATAAAATCTGTCACTACGTCCATTTTTTCCCCATCTATTTGCCAGGAATTGAGAGGGCTGGATGGCATGATCTTAGTTTTCTTAATGTTGAGTTTCAAGTCAACTTTTGCACTCTCCTCCTTCACTTGCATCAAAAGACTCTTTAGTTTCTCTTCACTTTCTGCCATTAGAGTGGTATCTTCTGCATATCTGAGGTTGTTGATATTTCTCCTGGCAATCTTAATTCCAACTTTTGATTCATCTAGCCCGGCCTTTCTCATGATGTGCTCTGCATATAAGTTAAATAGGCAAGGCAATAGTATACAGCCTTGCCGGACTCCTTTCTCCATTTTGAACCAATTAGTGATTCCAGGTCCTGTTCTCACTGTTGCTTCTTGACCCGCATATAGGGTTCTCAAGATACAAATGAGATAGTCTGGTACTCCCATATCTTTAAGAACTTGACACAATTTGATGTGATCCACACAATTAAAGGCTTTAGCATAGTCAAGCAAAAGTAATGTTTTTCCGGAACTCCCTAGCTTTCTCCGTGATCCAGTGCATGTTGGCAATTTAATCTCTAGTTCCTCTGTCTCTTCGAAATCCTGCCTGTACTTCTGCTACTTCTTGGTCCACATACTGCTGGAGCCTAGCTTGTAGGATTTTGAGCATAACTTTGCTAGCATGTGAAATGAGTGCGATGGTGCAGTAGTTTGAACATTCTTTGGCATTGCCCTTCTTTGGATTTGGAATATAAACTGACCTTTTCCAATCCTGTGGCCACTGTTGAGTTTTTCAAATTTGCTGGCATATTGAGCGTAGCACTTTTACTGCATCTTTTAAGATTTTGAATAGCTCAGCTGGAATACTGTCACCCCACTAGCTTTGTTATTGCTCAGACTTTCTAAGGCCCATTTGACTTCACATTCCAGGATGTCTGGTTCGAGGTCAGTGATCACCCAATCATGGTTATCAGGGATGTTAAGCTTGTTCTTGTGTAGTTCTTCTGTGTAATTTTGCAACCTCTTTTCTTAATCTCTTCTGCCTCTGTAAGGTCCCTGCCATTTTGGTCCTTTATCATGCCCATCTTTGCGTGAAACGTTCCCTTCATATCTCCAATTTTCTTGAAGAGATCTGTGGTCCTCCCTATTCTATTGTTTTCTTCTATTTCTTTGCACTGTTCATTTAAGAAGGCATTCTTATCTCTTCTAGCTATTCTCTGGAATTCTGCATTCAATTGGGTGTTTCTTTCTCCCTTTCCTTTCGCTTCCCTTTTTTCCTCAGCTCTTTGCAAAGCTTCCTCAGACAGCCATTTTGCTTTCTTGCCTTTCTTTTTCTTTGGGATGGTTTTAGTTGCTACCTCTTGTACAATGCTACAAACCTCCATCCATAATTCTTCAGGCACTCCGTTTATCAGATCTAATTCCTTAAATCTATTTGCCACCTCTACTGCATATTCATCAGGGATATGCATTCTATTAACAGCCATATAATCATCTAACAGAATCCACTTTGTCATGGGGTCCCCAAAGCTAGATGACAAAGCCTTCTTTTGAGGGCCTTCCTGACAGTGGTGGGATTAATTTTTTTTTTACTACCAGTTCTGTGGGTGTGGCTTGGTGGGCATGGCAGGGGAAGGTTACTGTAAAATCCCCATTCCGCCCCCACCCCACTAACCTGCTCTCCAGCTCCGTTCTCCTGTGTAGGGCAACAAAAGAAGACCCAGCCTATCAGCTGGGACTTTTGAGGCAGAGAATAGATGGGGGCGAGGCCAGTCAAAGGTGGTATTTGCTGGTTCTCCAAACTACTCAATATTTCCACTACTGGTTCCGCAGAACTGGTCAGAACCTACTGAATACTACCTCTGCTTCTTGAAGTCCAACAGGATTGGGGCCACTCCCATCTCAGGGGGAGTTAGTAGGATAATGAGAAACAAATATTTCTCCTTGATCAATACATTTTAATTAGAAATGGAGATTTTATTCAGATGGTAAGATAGACTGTCATTTTATCTTCATAAAGATTTTAATTTACTAGACTTTCAAACTTATTTTGTCATCTACATGTTGAATGTCAATTTAAATCAGTATTAAATTATTATGGACTTCATTGAAAAAGTATCTCTCTTTATTACAGCCTTAGAACTAGAAAACCTCTATAATTATGAAATAAGTGATTGGAATAGCTGATAACATCAGTGAATGCAAATTAAAAAATAGAAGTTAAGTTTGTATGTTTGGATTCCTCAAAGAATGTTTGCAAATGGTAGATTTTCTTGTGTGAGTGACAGACGGCATTTGAGGTACATTAATTCATTGTTTGGCTTGGTTTCTTTTTGGATAATATTTCAAAATTGTAAAATCTGACCATTGTTGAGAAATATTACCTGTTAGATCCAGGGAATAGCCAAGATAATTATATTGAGGGACTGATTTGTATATATCGAAGACTAGATTCAAGTAATATGTGACTTATTTTTTACAAAACATTTTTACTAACTGAAAAAATGTTATTTCATAACCATTTAGAATAGACATTCTCAAGCCTAATTAGATACATTGATTATATATAAACATGAGTATATGAATATATGGTATATTTAAATGAATTATATTGGCTTAGGATATTTTTCTTTTTTGCTGTTATAATTACTATAGTGGATGGGTGTGATTTTATATATTTTTGTATTTTTTAAAAAAATGGCAAGAAAATGATTTTTTAAAAAAATACTTCCAACCAGTCTTAACATTTCCAATATTGGCTGCGATCTGAAAAATGCTGCCACCTACCTTTAGGATATTGTAAAAATAACAGCAAGTTTTTCTGGAATCAATGGAAATTACTATGGTCATTTTGCACTCTGGTAGGTAATGACAACTACATTCTACAAAGTGGCTTCTTAGAGATAATGGAATAGAGTAGATAGCAAAAATAAAAATAGGATTTATTCTTTAAAATCATGTTGATATTCATTTAAATTCAACTTTAATGCTTAGTAAATTGAATTACATACATTTAAATTCAAACGTTCATCTTTCCATATTTATGCTTTCAGTTCATATAAGATAAATGCCAATACTTTCATTATAATTTCAACCACTGCTTCTTGCAATATAATTTTTTTAAAAATACCAACACTCAAGCTTCAACCTGAAAGACAAAAAAAATGCAGAGGCTCATGCAGCTCCTGTGTTTCCCCTGAGCATCACCATGTTCTACGTATGAAGCAGTTTTGGAAAGAATGTCTAGCTCATAAAGCATTACTGGAGGAGGATCTTCTCAATTTAGAAATTAAGCAATTCAAGGCAATACTGAAAAGTATCTCCAACTTCTTTTTTCGAGAACAAATGGTTCTCAATTTGGTTTTCAGTTTCATCTGATCTCACTACTTAAAAAGACTTCCTTACCCCATTGTAAATGCTAGGCCTGTAAGCCACTATAAGACTGCCTGTATTCCAGAGGCAATCTTACAGACAGGTAGCGAAGGTATAACCCACTAAATATTTATGGCGCCTGGGTTCTTTGCAACAATAAGCAAAGGGAGGAGAGTGATAGATCAGCAATTCTCATCTCATGGATGTATGAAAGAAGTACTATATCACAAATCCTATATAGACACAGTATTGCCATAATACAGATATTATTTTCACTGCGTCATGTTAATGGTGTACTTTTGCACGTTTATTGAGAGACAAGTTTTCGTTGAGATAAGAACATAAAAGTAGAAATAAAATGTATATTAAGCCATGGTTTGCTCCATTGAAGAAACTCAAATTGGCCTGATCTATACATGTCCATCCTTGTCTATAAACCACAGTTGCTCAATTTGCATCACACATAAAGCCAAAATGAAGCAAATCATGTTACAATTTAACTCAATATACGAAGCCAGGTAATAGGGATCTTAAAATATTGTGTACTATAGTCTATGACTTTTATCTGTTTATTTATTTAGTTGATGAGTTTTCAGCTAGCATACCTGTCACAAAACCTCTTAACAGAAGGAAACATTTCACTAAAAATTACCAGTTCCATGACTATTCCTTGCATTCACTAACAACCCATTTTCATATAAACAAATATAACAATAGGAAAAAAGTATACATTTGTAGCAAACCATAGGTACAACCTGAAGGCACTATTTTTCATTTTCTACTCCAATGTTATATCTGATTTCAGGGTAATGCACTACATAAGCACTTCATCCAGGCACTGAAGGCAGGATTTATAGCATACCATTCTCCGTTTGTCTACATGAGGGGTGTCATGTAGATTTCTCCCCCCTTGCTAAATCGGGTGGTGGCATGGCCCACTCATGATGCATCCGGCCTATGGACCGCAAGTTTGACAACCCTGGTCTACACCATCAAATGTAGCTTGAACAGAGAGAGAGAGGCTGGTCTGAAGTGAAGCACTGGGCTTCCCTGACTGAGAGCATCTCCACTCTTAGTCGAATACGTCAGATTGATATACAAGTCTCTTATCAGAAAAAAATACCACAAAATATCACTAATCCAGAGCAAATAGTATATCTGGCTTATGAGCCCATAAATATTAAAGTTTCTTAAACATTTGTTTAAATCTGAACAGGAGCCAAACAATAGAAAATGCCTTTAAGATAATTTACACTGGATGCAACTTTTTAAAAAAATGACAATGATTTCTAGTATTCCTACACAATACTCATTTTAATTTGATTTGAAAAGACTATTAAAATACTGCTTTGGATTATGAAGTTAAAGTTCATTGAAGGCTTTTCCTATCCTTCCCTAAACCTTTCCAAAGGATCACAAATCCTTCTGAACAATTTGGACATCCAAAAAGTTTGCTGACAGAAAGGAATTGCCAAAATGGAATCTTAAATTTTACATCTTAATAAAGACTATTCCAGTCCTTTCTTTCACTAGTAGCTCCCACCTTCTTCTCATTTTTTCGGTTTCTGACACACATACCCGAATTCTCTGGAAAGGTTTCCAGGGGCTCAAAGGGACAAAGCCAATTTATTTCTAGAGGTCAGATGAACTGCATAATATTAGCAGTTCAAGCAATACTTTTCTGTAATTTCTACTTGTGTTTGATTTGAAACATAAAATGATATACTATTTTTGTCAACATTTATATCCTGGCCCAGATGTTCAAATCACTAATGGCTCAGTGTTAGGAAAAACTACTGATGAAATTTGTTGTCAAAAGATATTCATGGATCATTCAGGACCTCCTAAAAACAAATTCATTAAAACCAAATAGAATATACTTGCAAAAAGAGTGCTTTGAAAATACATTGAATTTAAATAAGTTTCCAAACTGTGGCAACTTCTAGATTTATGAACTTCAAACCCCAGAATCCTCTGCCAGCCTAGCCTTTGCTAAGACTTGGGAGTTAGTCCACAAATCTGAAAGTGGCCACTAAGAAACCCTGTCACTTAAATCAAATCTCTGAAAATCACCAATCAATGACTAAAAAAAGAGAAGCCATGATTCAACTCATAATTTTAATATTTAAAGTATTAAACTTTAAACTGAATTAAAGAGTCATACAGAGGATCCCCAACCATTGCAAAAATGCATTCTAAAACCATTCTTAGTGCCACCTACTTTTAAAACATGTCCAACTATATCAACGGTTTCTAACTGGACCAGAAGACAAATTATAAGTTCTGATAAATGATTGTGAATTACTGAATCACAGCCTGGGTCAGTAAGATTGCTCTATTTTTCAGTAGCTGTTGCACAATGAAAAGTGGTATTTGATTTTAATTTACAGAGATATGCCTGAAATGCAATGACTCTAGTATAAGCGAACATTGCAGAGATAATATAGAGCTCAGCTTTAGAAAAAAGCACTAATGCCAGATGTGTAACTATTAAAAAAAAAAAACAGCACGGCAGAGTTTGCACTCTTAGACAGTAAATTAATGCAACAAGTTTTATGTTAAAACCTAGAAAACATATTTGATAATAGACATATCAGAATGCAATGCAGATGTTTTAATAAAACTAGCACCTCATATTTGTCGAACTTGTTAATTTACAGCACAAGATTTAAAGTTTTTAAAAGCAAATATCAAAGTTATAAAAAAGGGTTGTGATCATTAAAAGTGCTCAGTCTACACATATATTACATAAATGCAAGAATTTCCCCCTAAATTATTAGACATAAAAATATGTTTAGTATAGAAAGCTATATTTATTTGAAAAAGTGAATGTGATATTTTTCACAAACTTGGATATTAAATTTGCTTTGAGGAACCTTAGCAAAATAAGGAAATTGAAGATTTGTTGACAATTTGTAACTTTGATATTAAAAAAGTACCAGCATATACTTCTTTGGATTAAAATTGAAATACCACTACTTAATTAAAACAATCCAAATCAATAGTTTGCTTTTTACACAGGCATGTGAACAGTATGACTAACACATGAAGCAGATGATTAAATATTTCCATTTTTAAATAACATTTTACCATCTAGGTACAATGGTTGTTGTTTGCGAATTTTATTAACAATTTATAAAGGATCAAGGTTCAAAAATGAGCATTACTGTTACCAAATTGTAGAAATTACAAAATTGAGATTGCATTGACCAGCAAACTGTACCTTGATTAGTTAAAAAATATAAGAATTCAGTAGACTATTTAGCAAATAAAACAGCACACTAGTGTGCTAAATTTTAAGGCATATCTCTGCACACTTTACATCTTTAAAGAATTATTTACATTTACTACTGAATGAAAAGAACAATGGTATTTATTATGAAAAACAGAACCAAAAATATCTGGGACTCTCCTTTACTGTACAAAGATAAATCAGTTAATTGTGATAAAACATCATTTGCTAGTATAGGCCATAACAGATTCACTGTTATTCAGTATTTCTTGAGGATTTCGTAGAGCAGGAGGTAAATTTAATGCTTTTGATTCTTCGTCAAGAAGCACCAAATCTTCAATTTCTCTTCCTTTGTATTTCCTTTTACATAATTTCACAATAACTTTCTTCTTGAGAAATAGTTTCAGTGCTTCCCTTGAAGCAACTGCTTTGGCATTTTCCTTACTTTTTCCGCAGCCAGTCCCCAAATATACAGATTTGCATCTCAGTTCACAAACTATACTTTCCTGAGAGCTTTTATTTTGAGGTAAATCTGCAAGTTCTTTCAGTGGAACAAATTCAACATCTAATGTTGCCTTTACAGACTGAATGGATGAGTTTAAGAGTTCTACATGGTTGACACTTGGACTAAATCCTCCAGCAGCAACTAACTTCCAAGCAACAGCTTTGTAAAGTCTATTGAAAAATGGTTGCCTTTCTTTTGCATCTTCATTTGTCAACAATTTGCAGGGCACTTTAACAGGGGCTACACTTGTATGGGAACTTTTTGAAGCTAATACTGTAGTACTTTCCAAGCCAACCTTCTTTTCAGCTTGTGAGACATTTTCAGATTTGTGCTTATTAGTTGGTATAGATTCATAATTAGCAGCTTTGCTATCTATTCTTCCTCCAGCTAAAGATGCTGCAGGAGCAATCTTCTGGGTCACAGTTGTAGCTGCTGCAGGTGCTACATTGGGAGTCAGTTTTGAAGCTGAAGCAGATGTTGTCTTCTGAGATACGGTTGAAGCTGTTGTAGGCTCTACCTTTGGGGTCAAGGCTGAAGCTGCTGTAGGCAAAGACTGAGTCTTCTCTGGGGTTTTTGACATATCTTTTTCTAGATTCTTTAGAGATTCCTTGTCTGTTTGCACCTTCAGTTCTGCCTTTGTGGACTTTTCATTATTAACTTCAAATGGCTTGTCAGTACCAACAGCTTGCTTCTTGCAAGAACTTTCTGGAAAGCATAAACGAATTATGTATGTAATTCTGAGTAAATACAAGTATCCTTATTTCCATAAAACACTACCAAGAGGAATAGAGCCAAAGAATCTATTTACTTTTACCTTAAGCACAACTCTAATGAAATAAATTGAATTCTGCAAAACATTTATATTTAATTTAATACAAAAGATAAATAACCTTTTCCATAAATTTATAATTTGGATCAGAAAACCTTTTTCATTTTGGTTTTTTTGGGGGGTGTTGGTGGTAAAAAGGCAAACTGAACTATGAATGGTAACTATTTAATGCTAGTTAACATTAACTTTAAAAAATCACCTTACAAATCTTAACAGTTTTAATTATCAGAACAGTAATTAAATAATTTCTGAAGTATTAACAATTTTAAAAAATAAGCTAACATGTATTTGGTTAAATATATTCCTATGTGTATTTGCCAGCTATGATCTGCTAACCATTGCTACTGGATATGCCTCGTTTCACCTTGGCAACCAGTTCATCTCTCAGAGTGTGGGTTGGAGCATTGGTCACTGTAATGCCTACAGCCATATCCATCACCTTTTCCATCACTTGCGGAGAATATCTAAGCAGGAAAAGATAGAAATTAGCATTTAGAGGAAAATGGATTCTATATTCATGACATTGAGAGCATCAATGGCTTCCAAAGTACAAGCATTGGGTTGGTGCATGTTAAACTATTTAGTTAAGCTATTTAAAACATCATTCTGTTTAGAATTTCAAGGTGGTGTACAGTTGTTAAATTTAATATAAAGCACAATAAAAGCCCAAAGCTTTGATATTTTAAAAACAAATATCAAGTCTAAGTACTTAGACTAATAAAACATACAAGTAGCCCTCAATTTACGACAATTGAGTCCAACATTTCTGCCGTTGTCAGTTTTGCCCCATTTTATGACCTTTCTTGCCACAGTTAAAGTGAATCTGGCTTCCCAACTGACTTTGTCAGGTCCAAAAGGTGATCATATGACCTTGGGACACAGCACCTGTCATAAATATGAATCAGTTGCTAGTATCTGAATTTTGATCACATGATTGTGGGGATGCTGCAAAGGTTGTAACTATGAAACAAGGTCACGTCACATTTTTCAATGCCATTGTAACTTTGAACGGTCACTAAATGAACTGTTGGAAGCCGAGGACTACCTGTATTAGGCTCACCCCAAGAGATTACAGTGGTGGTATTAGACAAGCTACTACAAGGATTTCTACTCATTAAATGTTAATTCAGCTATTGTACTATAGTAAAGATTTCTATTATGTGAACAGAAAACAGGATGACTTATCAAAAGTAACACCAACAGGAAGTGGCCCTTAAGCAAGAACCAAACACTTAAGCAAAAAGAAAAATTCAATCCTCAAATCAATGGGGACAGTTTAATTGTATAGGTATCCCTTAAGTATTACAACAGTACTTTTCCTTCAATCCTCCAAATCTAGGCATAGAAGAAAAATAGTAAACAAGAAATTTATTTGGGAAGATTAGCCAAAATTACAGTGTATTAGAATCATTATATTCTGCAGAGGTCAGTTAGACCAAATAAAGACGTTGTGCTTTATCATAGTAGCAGCTGCAATAACTAGATGCAGTTGCATAAAGGGTAGAAGACCACCTAGGATTTCCCCATTTGCCACTGTGACTTTTGTAAGAAAAAGCGGAATAAAAGATAACCATCTTGCAAATTTTCAAAATGTGGGAGACCTTCCAAGCCCCCCCCCCCCAAGAGCAAAGGTAATATGGTAACATTATCTCTGCAAATAAGATAGCTATGGAAGCATTTGTATCGGACTAGAAAAGACATTTGAAACAGAGAGCCAGTTCTATTGGTTAAGGCACCAGATATAGAAATGAGAAGACTGTGAGCTCTAGTCCCTCCTTGTCCGTCAAAGCTGGCTGGGTGACCTTGGGCCTTTTTCCCTCTCCAGCCAAACCTTATAGGACAGGCTTGTTCTGGCGAAAACAAGAGGGAGGAGTATTTGGTATGTTTACCGCCTTCAGTTATTTATTTATAAAAATACTTAGATGGGGTTAAATATATTTTAAAAAAACCCTAAAATCGTCTATCCATCTTCCTCCCCCCACTACTTTCACTATATGAAAATACACCGTTTCTTGAGAGCACGTTACTTAAACGTGTAGTTCTTCACTAAAACTATTACCGCCACCAACTTACCGACACCCCAGGAAGACGTGATTGGCCCACACCCTAGAGAAAGAGACCAGGCGACGGAGCTCCGGGCAGTCGGCGTCGTCCTTTCCGCTCACGGACAGACCCTCCGCATTGCGAATCAAAAACTCCCGCCGGTACTGCCAGTGCTGCTCAGGCTCGCACTCGTCGCGCAACTTTTCTACCCAGTCCACGCCGGCATCACTCGCTTCTTCCGTTTTCTCGTTCCCTTGGCTAGACGCCGCGGCGGGCCCCGCTACCGGGGCGGCTTCCCCTTCGGCCATGGGCCGCAGGGAAGTGGCCCTTAACAACCAGCAGCTTGCAGCTCGCTCTCCGACGCAGGAGTATTTACTTCCGGCCTACGTTACCGCGACGCGAAGGAACTGGCTTCCCGTCTAAACCGGCGGTAGCACGAAGACCCCTCAACATTTCCGCCCCCCGGAGGTGATCAAATCAGAAGCTGCCGAATTATTGTAGCCAAGATCCGGCTACCTGTTTATGACTTCATTTCCGCACGACAGGCCGCTTCCTGTTTCTGAAGCTTTCTGCCCTTCCTTCCCATCGTTCCTCCCGACTCGATGCTCTTCCCGAGGGATGGAAGCGGTTTCTTTTGACGGCTTCCTTTCCGGATTGGCTGTGGCTCTCTCGACCTGTAAGGCGGGAGTGTAAAGTAAATGGTCAAAGCCTCTGTAGTCCCAACTCGTGTGGGTTCCTCTTCAGTGCCTTTGGCTGAAAGTCTGTTGATGAAAAGGTTTTCTTAAGGTGTCTTTTGATTCCCGCCTCTTCTTGGTGGTAGGAATGGGGTTTTTTACTGGAACAATCCAACCAAGAATGTTTTTCGTTCTTTGCAGACTCGAGCGAAGAGAACCTAAAATTACAGGCAACTTTAAGAAAGATGTTGAGATACTTAAACAGCAGCAGCAAAAGATAACAAGGGTGATCAGGCAGAGGAAACTATGAAAAGAGTTATCTCCTCAGAATATACTCAAGTAGAGGCTGGGAAGACGAAGCTGATGAAGATCCTTCAATATTATAGATGAATCAATCAGTCATTCTATGATATCTTGCTGGCATTAAGCCTAGGTTTGTTTGACATGAGTTAAGTATTCAAAATAACTGTGTTGAAGACTGACTTTATAAATTGCTTGTACCTGGCCACTGACATCTCTTAAGGACTTTCATCAACCAAGGACAACAGTTGTGTAATAAGTAGATCACAGACTTAATCACGCATTGAATATTGTTCACTTTTTTCAGAATTGACAGGCTTAAATCAGTCCCAAATCACTTTAAAAGATGTTGCTTCTATCATCTCAGCTAGACCTGCTTGACCAGCCACCAATTCTGAACAGATGCAAATGATTTTAAGTTCCAGATGCTTTGCAAACCTAAATTGTATTTGATTTTATTTATATAGCCATACATTTCAGATAAATCTCTGGGTGGCTCACAACATTCAAACAAATAAAATATGCAAAATATTAAAATGAAACACACAACAGCCAAACAATCATGAAAAGCCCTGGACATAGCCAAGAAACGAGTCTGGCACAGCTTTACAAAAGGCCAGTCTCTGAGACAGGGATGCGCCAAGTGGTGCATGCCCGTGGCAGGAAAGGCTCTTATACAGGGCCTGCCAGCTGAAATTCCTTGGTCGAGGGTACCCACAGTATGCCTCTCCTGCCTGATCAGACAGGATGAGTAGAAACTGAGAAGAGATGGACCTGTAAGTAACCTTGCTTTAAAGGTAGGTTGGCGAATCCAGAAAAAGAAACTCCTGGGACATTATTTTACCAAGAGTATAAAACTTTACTGAATAAACTACACTGGCACAGAAGAAGCAAAACCAGCACTGGGTTTCCCATGCAAAAGCAAGCATAGTTAATACCCCCTTTTCCATACAGGCCACCCACAGTCCAAAACATCCACAAATCACTTCTGTTCATTTTGTTATGGGAACCAGCCAGCCATGCCAGCACATCTGCTCCAGGGGTGGGATCCTACTGGCTTAACAACTAGTTTGCTATTCGCGCATGCGCAGTATTTATAAATCAACTTCTGCAAGCAGTAACCTCCTGCTGACATGTGGCACTCAGTTGTGCCGTGCAAGGCAACTAAGGTTGCTTTAGCAGGGAATAAAGGACAGCCTAGAGCCTGGGCAGGCAGGTGGGCCCAACCAAAGAAAAGAAGATCTGAGAGAGCCGGTTCAGTGTCAGCTGCTCTTTGGAGCTACCGGTTCTAGTGAACTGGGCCGAACCAGAAGAATCGCACCCCTGATCTAATTGGTGTGTCCTTGAGATGTCACCAATGTCTCACCGAAGGCCATGAATGCTTAATCTCCCACCCTTGCATTCCATCTACCCCCTCCCTGTTATTGTCAAGCAAAATGTAGGTGAAAGTGTGAGTCAGTCTTGTCAAGCACCCTGAATTACATCTGGAACCAAATTGGTAGCCAATGCTGCTCATGGAGCAATAATGTCACATGTGCCAAACAATTGGCACCTTTAACTGTCCATGCCACTGCAATTTGCATCAACTAAAGCTTCAAATACTTTTAAGTGGTAGCTCCATGTAGAGCATGTTGCAGTAGTTCAAATAGGAATGAGGATATTGTTAAATTTATATGCTGCCTGACTCCCAGCATCACAAGTTAAACTTGCTTATAAACTAATCTAGCTTGGCATTCTCCATGTAACCCAAATAAAGTGCTGCAGGGTAGCTATTTACAGATGCAATAAGTGCAGCAGACTTACTACTGCTATCCTATCGTATCTTTCAGCTACCTTAATCTTTTAAACTTCCTTTCTATTTCTTTTCTATTCCTCACTTCTTCAAGGCAACCTATACTGATGCCTGTTTCACCCCAGTTCCTCCAATTCCCAAGCCTCCATTCAATCAAAAACACCCATTCTTCTTGGGGCTGCTGTTGACCAAGTCAGTCAGCAACCATGTCATATCTCCAACTATATCACTTTATACCTAGAAATAGCATCCTCCCTTTTACCTGTCCCTCCAGAACAAAAATCTTCCAGATCACAATCTCACCAAAGTCATGTTTGGACCTCCCAAACTCTCACTCCGGGTGGGGAGCGTTTCATTTCCACTCTTTATCTTTCATCTTGAGGGTCTAGAGTCTTGAGGGTCTAGTGATCTAGAGATCACTTCCAGAATTTCAAACACAGCTCCTACTACTTTCCAGCCCTTGCCTGCTTGTAATGGTATCTTTTTCCTGGCAAGCAAACCAATGCTATGGAACAATGTTTTTGCGTATTTGGCTTATAATATGAAAGTAATTATGTATACCATATGCTCTATCTGAAAAAAAAAATCCCAATACAAATCAAGCAATAAAAATACAGGAATACCACTTTAATTTTTCAAAGTTAAGGGATCATGAGCAGAGAAAGATCTATGACACAAATTCTTTTTAGTCCCATGGAATATTAGAAATTGGATGCTTGCTTGCTCACATGCAATGTATGCCTAAATAAACAATGTTCTCTAATCATGGTCCTTTACATTTCTGCTTTCTAGAAATGTAAATAGATGCAGCTGTTTGTTTTTAGCTAACTTCAGGAGAAATAAATTTGTTCCATTCCATGGAACTGTTTTGTATCAGTAAAACAAGCTGCAATGATATAACTTTGCTCTAAAAGTTTGTCTTAAGTTCTCCTCTCTCCTGCATACAGTACAGCTTCAAAAGATGTGGCAATTAAATTAGATATGGGCTATCAACCCTGTCAGTTAGAATCATGCAGATAAACAAGTGTAAACAGTTTCACTATTCATCTTACAGTTTAGGAAGACATTCTTTGTGTTTAAATAATCAGAAGTGGTTGGTTATCCTTCCTAGTATAGTTATGCACTAGGCATTGCAACTTTGTGGAGGAGTGACCACATTTTCACCATATAACAATCCAATGTGTGAATTGCTTTGCACCGTGCTTGTCTTAAGAATTCTGATATTTTCTTCTTTCCTTTAAAATCAATTCATATCATCATGTAAACAGAAATGTTTATATGTTTAATATCAGTATCAATTGAGCTGAGATTGTGCCCCTGTGGAAAAGGGGCTATCAAAATTACAGCTCACACCTCACTGTACCTTCTATGAGGACTCACAGACCCACTTCATAAGACCTCACCTGATAAAATACTAGTCTTTCTTAATGTACGGTTGCTGTTATTAGTTCAGTATGATATCACTTCTTTGAATGTGGTTAAATTTTGTTATACTGTCTGCAGAATTAAGCAGACTTTGATTGCCCACTGACAACCCACCACTAATTGTAATATGTTATCTTCTCTTTTTTCTTTTTAATGCTTTTAATTGTAATTCTGGTCTGTGACCATAATAAAAATTATATCAGTATTAATAATATTTCTATTTACTGGGAAACATCTTCTACGTTTCCTCTCATATTCTAATAATCATATGTAATGCTAAATACTAGATGTCTGTGCCAATTTAGTAGGGATGGTATTGGGAAAAGAGTGGGTGTTGTGTTGGCTCAGAATGCATTTTAATGGAAGAGTATCATCTGAATGTGTGTATTCAGAGCTTTGGGAAATGGGACAGGTAACGCACTAAGCAGTAATTTATTTAGCTCACTGAAATATGTAAACCTAACTTTAGGTTATTCCTGAATATATTGTTTGAATCCAGTCAATAATATTTATTTAATAGATCATTAAGCCATGGCTTGTAGAGGGCATGAACCCGGTTCATGAACCCCATATTCTGCTTTCTTACTTTTCTTTCTTCAGGCATTTGCTAACACACGCCCTTTACACATTAGGATTTGAAGATAGATCAAGGTAATATAAAACTTTCCCTTATTCTTTTTGAGGATAGTAAAGCAAAATTTAGCCAATTGTTTAATTCCAGTAAAATGAATTGCCATTGATGGTTAATCATTTTTAAAACACCACTTTGGCACTCTTTAATATGATTCCTGTGAATTCTATCTATCTTACAGTATGCATGGTTTGAAAAGTTTGATTGGTAATCCATTAATATGAGGACATAGCTACAGTAAATAATTGTATTTCAGTATTATTGCACCTAGCATCCTGATCATTTCTGTTTAATTTTCTATTTGGAAGATAACTTATTTTGCTGCACATTTTATATCTTAACCTTGTACAACTGTGATATACATTTATTCCACTGGATGGCACTGAAGGAAACTGGATCACATATATACATCACACTGTTGAAGGCGAATTCAGAGATTACCCTTCATTTACAGCGCTGCTCAACTACCAGACAAATACAACCGGA